TTCTGTTTTCACGAGTTTTTAGTCTAAGTAGCCATGGGCTATGTTTTTCTTTTATCATAGTCCATGGCTTTATAGAATTGTAGTGAAGATCTAGAGATATATGACGCGAAATCAATTGTCTGAGTGCAATCAGAATGACAGTGATCATTTTACATTTTTGTGCGTTTTTATTTGTTGAATTGTTCGTGTTTAATTAATATGTACGAATGAAAATAATAATGGACTATTTGGCATTTCCGTAAGTCATCAAGGTAACGTGCTTTCTTCGGCCAGCATCAATTTTCATCACAACAATTACATTGTTTGAATGAATTTTGAAAATGATAGTTTAGCGAGTAAAAATAGAAATAGGCTGGGAAAAAAAGAAATCACCAAGAAAAAAAACAGCCAATAAATTAATATTAAACTGTATACCAGAATTATTTATGAATGCATATTAGAGACTAAACATGAAATATTATAATAAATCCAGATACTTTAGATATTGGGTGACCAGTCCAAATATCCTACACATCAAACAGAGTTCTCTTTATAGGCCAGTCAAAATCGACACAAAAAATCGCTAAATTCGCAAAACATGATGTATCTCTGATTTTTTAGTATGTTGTTTGGACCCATTAGAGTAGTGTATACTCAAGTTTGCAACTCTCTAAAAGTTGTGGAAAAAGTGTAGTATACGAAAAACCGCGAAATTTTCGGAATTTTTGGAGAGTTTGCGTTATATTTCCTTAACTATGCATTTTTCGACTTTCGTCACTGTATACGTTTTTGAATAGTATTAAATGTGTAACAATTTGCGCCTAACCCGAGCTCTGTAGGTCAATTAGTTACCGAATTACGGCACTTTGAAGATAGTCATTTTTTTCCAAAAAGTGAACATTTGAGTTTTACACCTTCTTTAGATAGAAATTGCGGCTAAACTATTGATCCTACGAGTAGAACTTATGAAATAGAAGTTGTAGATAATTTAATTAGCTTTAAGTTAAGCGTAAAGTGGGGTCTGCAGGTCTCTTAGTTCTCACTAAATCTAAAAAAAAACCGATATAAGGTAAAATCGCATTTATCCAGAAATGTTCCAAAAGCTTTTTATTTTTTTGTTTTTTGGTGTGGTAAACAAAAATTTGCCATGCAATCATTAAAAAAACGGTATGTAACCAATAAATCAAAGATAGATCAAAATGGTCTCCTTGTTTTGAATGGCTCTGGGCCGTCACTTTCGCTGCACTCTTTAACAACCAGGTCCTCTACTATTGGTGGATTGTTGTCGCGATCCTTTATAGGTAGGGAGTCCATTATTGCTGGATGTCAGGGCTGTCTTGAGGCTCGTCATCGTCGCCCTCTTCGATGATGATAAGAGCAGCGTTCTGGCACGTTTCCCCAGCGCAGGTAGCACACATCACAAAGCATTTGAGACCTGCTTTCAGGCAAATACAGCCACCTCTGCATCCCTTTTTGCATTTGCAAGAAAGGAGCTCTGGGGGGGCAAGAAAACAGAAACCGAAAAAAGAAATTACCTGCACAGAAGTGAAGTTTTAATGACGATCAATTAAAATATAAATAAGTCAATTAGTTACCGAATTACGGCACTTTGAAGATAGTCATTTTTTTCCAAAAAGTGAACATTTGAGTTTTACACCTTCTTTAGATCGAAATTGCGGCTAAACTATTAATCCTACGTGTAGAAATGATAAAATAGAAGTTGTAGATAATTTAATTAGCTTTAGGTTAAGCGTAAAGTGGGGTCTGCAGGCCTCGTAGTTCTCTCTAAATCTCAAAAAAACCGATATAAGGTAAAATTGTATTTCTCCAGAAATGTTCCACAAACTTTTTATCTTTTGTTTTTTGGTGTGGGAATAAAAAAGCAATATGTCAAATCACTTTTTTGCTGCATAGAGTCAATTTTAAATATCCAACAATTTCATAGATTTAAATTAAGGCACAAATCAAAGTTTAGTAAGTCGTAGATAGGGGTCGCAATGATATCATTGTACATAAAGTCCCTAGATTACTAAAGTAACGCGAATAGCAGCCATTTTGGCTCAGTTTGGGAACCGCGAAATTTGAAATTGAACAACAGTTGGAAAGTATATGTATTTTGCAGTCGGTCTTGGATAGTGCGGATACTTTTGGATAGGGAATAAGTTTTGTGAGCGTATCGTTTAAGCCTTTAACATAACAAGAAAAATATAGTTGCATCGCTTTTTTCAATCGTTTCACGACTCCACATAAAACCTTTGTGTGTACCCAATTCTAAATATTTTAATTGATCTTCATTAAATGTTTTCGAAAAATTGCAGTCTTCACTTCTGTGCAGGTAATTTCTTTTTTCGGTTTCTGTTTTCTTGCCCACCCCATCAGAGTTCCTTTCTTGCAAATGCAAAAAGGGATGCAGGCTGTATTTGCCTGAAAGCAGGTATCAAATGCTTTGTGATGTGTGCTACTTGCGCTGGGGAAACGTGCCAGAACGCTGCTCTTATCATCATCGAAGAGGGCGACGATGACGAGCCTCAAGACAACCCTGACATCCAGCAATACTGGACTCCCTACCTATAAAGGACCGCGACAACAATCCACCAATAGTAGAGGACCTGGTTGTTAAAGAGTGCAGCGAAAGTGACGGCCCAGAGCCATTCAAAACAAGGAGACGATTTTGATCTATCTTTGATTTATTGGTTGTATACCTACAATTTTTATGACTTATGTTTATATTAAAATACACCTCACCGTTTTTTAATGATTGCATGACAAATTTTTCTTTACCACACCAAAAAACAAAAAATAAAAAGCTTTTGGAACATTTCTGGATAAATGCAATTTTACCTTATATCGGTTTTTTTTGAGATTTAGAGAGAACTACGAGACCTGCAGACCCCGCTTAACTTAAAGCTAATTAAATTATCTACAATTTCTATTTCATAAGTTCTACTTGTAGGATCAATAGTTTAGCCGCAATTTCTATCTAAAGAAGGTGTAAAACTCAAATGTTTACTTTTTGGAAAAAAATGACTATCTTCAAAGTGCCGTAATTCGGTAACTAATTGACCTACAGAGCTCGGGTTAGGCGCAAATTGTTATACATTTAATACTCTTCAAAAACGTATATAATGACTTTCGTCGAAAAATGTCTAGTTAAGGAAATATAACGCAAACACTGCAAAAAGTCCGAAAATTTCGCGGTTTTTCGTATACTACACTTTTTCCACAACTTTTACAGAGTTGCAAACTTGAGTATACACTACTCTAATGGGTCCAAACAACATACTAAAAAATCAGAGATACATCATGTTTTGTTGATTTATTGTCGATTTTGACTGGCCTATTATTTGCACTTGGTTCAACAAAAACCAAACAAACATGGATTAATATGTCATAATGTATGAAAAACGCTGGGAGTTGGCATCTCTTAAGAGAATTTTACACAGAAAGGATAAGTGGATACATGAAATAAAGGCCACAACGAGAACATGCGGCACGCTTTTAGTTGATCCTTAAGTAACTTGAGGCAGAGCTTAGCCGACTGCCCCACGTTCCGATAAGGCATGACCCCAACTCTTTCATTCACCCATCGCTACCCACTAGTTATAAATGGCCGGGTTAGAACTCGAGATTTAAACATTCATATGACAACCCGATAAAAAGACAAATCATGACATCTATAACAACATTAATAGAGCAACCATCAACATATACAGGGTTGTTCAAATTCGTGCCACCCCAGTGGGATCTCCGTCACGGTGAGAGATACAGTGTTGATTAAATGGGGTCAAAGTTGCTCCTTTTTTTGACTAAAAACGCTTTTGAAATTTAAATCTTTGAAAATAAGTGAGATATCACGGAAAAACCGAAAATGTCAAATTTTGTTTTTTCCCTAGCTTAAACGGTCCCGTTGGCACTTTATATGGGCACTTGTTTCGGAGAATCTGAATCTGTTACCTATCAAAATTTCCATAGCACGCTGGATGTAGAACGTATACAGGCTACTACTTTCTTATTTTGTTATGGACGGCATATTGGATTTTTACGGAATGAGATCCAGGAAAAAAGAAAGAATAATGACGTGTCACACTAAACTTTTACATAAATTTACAAGAAAAATTTCTCAACAAAACATCCACGGATAACTAGATCATGCTAAATCAACGTGGCTATATCGCAAAAACGCATATTTTCTCATCCATTTTTTTTACGTCAGATTCAAAATAAAGGCGCCAGAGGTAAATATAGTCCGAAGATCGGCAGTTTTATTAAAATTTCACATATTTGACCGCCCCTCCCAACCTTAAGCCACGGGATCTCTCTGGCAGACATGACTTCTTCTACTTCACTATGTATCAGGATACTTTACACAAAAAATCAGCCATGTAGCGATAAGTCACTTTTTTCCGTAGCCAGCTCTAATTACTGTATACGTCTAAATGCGCATATAAATAAAGTGAAACAAATGATTGTGCATTTTAATGACATCTGTCATTCTTATTTCAAATGCACGATATAAAATGACGTTCAGAACATTTGACAATTCTGTTTCTATGGAAACGATCGTGACGGATTGCTGCTTTTGACGTCTCTAAATTAAATTCAGAATTGTCGGAAGCTTATGATTTATATGGCTTCTGCTATAAAATAAAGTTTTGTATTGTACACAACGTTAAAGGGAAACTACCCATCTCGTGAAAGTTTCTTTTACTCAATGGTTAAAATATCCCTTTATCGTCTTGTGTTATAAATTACTATTTATTCGTCTACTTAATTTCATTGGACTCATGGAATAATGTTTCAAATTAGTGCACTTACGGCAGCGTGGCGACCGAAAATTCGCAACCCTAATAAACTACTACTAAATTTAAATTATGAGTAAATTCGCTATGAAATTAGTCACCTGTGACTTATCGGAGGCGATTTGGTTTTGACGGACCACCCTGTACCCTCGTCAGGTGGATATATCATACGAAAGTTCGAGGAAAAATTTGTAATTAAAAAATGTAACACGAGGACCTCTGTAAATATCAATACTTATAACAGTATATAAAACAAGAAAATAAGTTCACTACTAAACCTTGTGGATAAGATGACTGTTTATGTTTCCAATGTGTGTAGTCAGTTTTTGTACAGCTTCGTAACGTGCGGCTTCGGCAACATTACTTGCACCGTTCATCACTAGCACTTGTTTAACTTGATCGATACGTCCCTGAATCAAACCATCCAAAATGCACAAGGCAATTAAATTTTCTGTATCATCGTCTGGAATTTTTAGCTCGTCGCTTATAAATTTCAGCTTGATTTTGCGATAGGGTTTAATTAATGAGAGCAGAACTTGAGTTCGAACGCTCTTTATCAAATCTTCGATGTGCTCACCGATGAAGGAGTCGTCCAATAAGGTCTTCTTATTTTGTTGGAAAATCATCTCGAAGTGTTTCATGTCGGTGTTATGATAGGCGGTAATTAAATCGGTCATCGCTTGAATCTCCGGATCGAGTTTGTAGGGCTTGACTTCTTGAGAGTCGAAAGGATTTATATCAGATTTCATTAACATACTCGTTAAAAGTAGGTATTTTAAACAAGTTGTGCGTCTGGGGTTTCCCGATTCGTCATAGTTTTTAAACGCCTCGAAGAAGTCGCTGTAGGCCTTCTCGTAGTCGGACGCTCGGAGATGCATTTTGCCTCCGCACTCCCTTATTATTCCCATTATGACGGGGTGGGGGACACCAGATCGGACTTTCAAGCAACGTTCGTACAATTCTTTAAGCAATTTGTGATTCTTTTGGCGAGTATGCATTTGTATTTCGAGAGCGTAAATTTCCAGAAGTTGACCGTCACTCGAAGCATCGCTCGTTCCATCTCTTTTTTGGAAATATTGGTATAACTGTTTGATGATGTAGTTCAGCTTAGAGAAATCTCCTCGATCTAAGTAGACTTTACCAAGCTTCGTGTTGGTTTTAAACCAGAGGCGATCATTTTTCGCATGCTTCAAAGTATCGAGCGTAACTTCATAGAACTCTTGTAAAAGTTCAATATTTTTCGATGTGGATGTGTAATCCAGAATCGAATTAATCGATTTTTCTCCATGGTTTTTGGTAACTGATTGCTTGATATACGTCAGCAATTCTTTGTATCGATTTATAGTCTCGGTGTATTTTTTCTGCTTAAAATTGAGTTTTAGTATTTGTTTCAAAGCCTTAAATCCCCATTCGCCCTTTTGACCACATTGCATGTCTATAACTCTTTGAAACTCTTGCAACGCTTCGTCGGGATGCTCCTCTTTCATGGATTTGCTGTGATAATATTGATTTTCCAGGTCCACGTCTGGTTCTGATGTGCTTTCTTCTGAATATTCCAATTCATAGTCTTCATCGTCCGTCATACTTATGCTGTCATTTTCTGCGCGCATTTTTATGTTGTGTTGGTGTTGGTCCTGCAATTCGATACACCTAAATTAAAAAGATTGCTGGATTAGAACCTTTTTATTATGAGGATTTACCTACCAAGTTTTTGATCGTCAAGGCTTTTTATAGATCGTCGAAAACGTTAACCTATTCATTAGATGTCAGAATAACTAATGCACTCTTGCCGGATTGATGTAATTGTTTTAGATTATGACAGTCACCGAAGCCTACTGTGGTTTTCGCACGACGCCCACCATTTTTAAAAATTTGTGTGAAGACCATAAAACTTAGTGTAACCTTTAAATTAAATACTAACAATGGCGTTTTTGTCTTTGTAAATAATAAATAAATAATTTTCATTGTCAAGTCTTCCACGTTTTCAATGTTTTTTTTACACTCTTAATGAGTATAACGGCGATGCCCTGGAAATCAGATTTTTTAGTTTTAAGAGTTTATTTTTATCCCTCGGGTTTAAGCAAAGGGTCCACACTTTGATCTACGGATCATGTGATTTGGGTTGATCCAGTTTGATCCGGTTTATTATTTCAAAGTAAAGTTGTGTTTACCAGAAGTCTAAACAACCAAGCGAAAATCAAAACGTGATGAATGGCGTCCACCCCCCTCAATACACGATTACATTTTTAAAGAATTCATTTGTGATATTTAAGGTCAGTTTCACAAAATAAGGATAATCAGTTGATGATCCATCCTATCCAATGTTTTAAGTTAGATCATTGAATAAATAATATTCAGATTTATTGTTCAATGGTTGTATCGTCCATACGTTCGCGTACCATCGGCCGACCGATGAAATAACGCGGGCATCGGTTCTTCGTAATAAAAAGTTCTCCGGTAGCGTGGGGGTATCATCAGTTGCGGTTTTGATATAGTGCTCTCACCCTCACCTCTCAAAATATGTTGACGACTGATTTGATACCGGTTTTGTGAAAACAATTTAAATTTGGCATAATTTAGGAAACGGGATTAGAAGATTATAAAAAAATCGGAAAAAAATAAAGAACGAAGCACAAAGGACATCAACGCGTTGCTCCGCGCTCTCCACGTACATTTTCGCGACTGATCATACGCATTACGCATGCATGTGAAAGCAAGATACTTCGTCTTCAGTTCGACCGACCAACAGGACTGATCATAAGTCGTTTGTGAAACATACCTATAAAAGTGAAACATTCTCCTTCGGTTTTTCTCTTACAAAGGACCGATGATTAGGACTGCCGACCCATGCTATACATTGTTTTAGGCCCGTTTCACAAAGGACCCATAATCAGGATTTATGATCTCGCTTGTAGCCTCAAACATCCCTTGATATAGTTTATCCACAGGGATAAACAGGGATCTATTATTTCTTCACCGCCTTATCACAGCGTCAAAAGTTGCGTTATTCCATCCCACCACCGCCCTTCTTGCCCTAACCTTACACGCCACTATCTGGTACGCCTTCCCCCAGATGTCTTTGACTAGCTCGTTGCACAATCATTTCCAACACCTCCTCTTGCTGGCGCCGGTCAGGTACTTCAACTGGTCTTTTTCTCTTTTCAGAGCCGCCTCTGCCGTTCGTAACTTGTGTTGGAACCTAATCTTTGGCACAATGCAGGCCTACGTTTCTTGGCAATCTCGTCTGTCCATGAGCAGAGTTGGACTAGGTCAAGCATAGAGTGACCCAGTGACCCGGTGACCCAGTTAGTTTACTGACCCAGTGACCCGGTGACCCAGTGACACAGTTGACCCGGTGACCCAGCTTGACCCGGTGACCCAGCTTGACCCAGTTTGACCCGGTGACCCAGCTTGACCCAGTTTGACCCAGCTTGACCCAGTGACCCATCTCGACCCAGCTTTACCCGGTGACCCATCTTGACCCGGTGGTCCAGTTTAAACCGTTATTTGGATTAAGCTAACTAGTAGAAGAAAATTAATGAACACCAGTAAGCAACTGGTAAGCCCTGAAGCAAAGAAATGAAGGAAGGAACTGTTTAGAAATAATATTACTATAATACAATTCGGGACATGGAAAGTTTTTTATGGCAGTATATTAAAGCAAACATCACAGAAATGGCAGTTGTCCAGCAATCGAGTATTATTTTCAACAAACCAGCATTAAGTTTCATTTATTTCATAATCTGTACACTTGAACCGAGGTCACTGACTTAACTGCGTTATCGATCAAACTAGGATACTGGGCCAAATCGGGTCGCTGGGTCAAACTGGGTCAAACCGGGTCACTGGGTCAAACCGGGTCACTGGGTCAAACTGGGTCTAACTGAAGAGAATATGACGTGACCCAGTGACCCAGTTTAATTCAGTGACCCAGGTGACCCAGTTGACCCAGTGACCCAGTCCAACTCTGTCCATCAGTACACTCTTTTCTCAGCGCCATCGCCTTTTCACATACTCGTATGCTCACGACGGTATGATTGTAACATGTCGCCCGTTTGGGGGGTTCTCCATATCGTATCCCATACTAGCATGCCAAGCGCTACGGAATCTAACTTTTTAGTGTTTCTGCCTTTAGCCTACGTTCTCACTCTTCTTCGCATTGGTATCCTCCGCCACTATAGTTTCCCGAGCACCATTCGTCCTTATGGTTGTCTAGACTCTAGAGTCCCTTAAAATTGAGCCAGCATGTCGTTTGGCGGGAATGTACTTCCTGGACCCACACCATTGAATTTATAACTAAATTCAATGCCCACACGTAGGCCATGTTAGGGTGATGAAATTCACTGTGTATATGTGCTGTCACTCATTAGGTTATGTCCATTTTATACAAAATGATAATTTCCTGTCAATGTGCAAAACCTAGTTGCCAGATTTAGTTTTGGATTTTGTGGCAATTTTTTTATAGGTTAATACGTATAAATTTCATGAGAAACAATTTGCTGAATACGTTTCGTACTTTATTGAGTAGGCAAATTGCTATTATGAACAAGCGACAAAAAGCGATAGTTAACGCTTTCGAATTTCTAATTCTGTTTTTAGCAATAGGTAGACAATGATCAAGGGACTAATTGATTAGATTTTGGTCACTATTCGTCAACCGGAAGTGACTTTGTCGCGCGTGGTCTATATTGGAATTGGTGCAGCCGAGGCCTACGATACTTACAGGCCGGAGCGCTCGAAAAAGTCACGTGACGTTAGGAGTCATGAAATACATTACGGCTTATGGAAAATCCGTGCGCGGCTCCACTATTTATTTTTTTACTCCGGATCCGTTCAACATAGAGCCACGAAATTTCAATGAGAGCTTCTCAATAGTACACACAATCAAATTATGGTGTTCGTTAATTTTTAATAACACTAAAAATAATTAATTTTTAGGTTTAAAGTATTGAAGATAAAACGATGTTAGTAAACCGCGTTTTTCTATCTTTACATCATCATATTTCTTTTTCTAGGAACTATATCATTATAATCCTTTCGGTGTCTTAAACTAGAATGATATCCGCCTCCAATTAGGTATGCGTATATATATGATGCCTAATCTGATATTAGTATAGTTTTAACAGGCCCTACAAAATCGCGCATTTATTATCCGCGCAGAAGGAATTTTTAAGAAATAGTCTCTTGTTTCCTTTTTTTCAGCAGCTGAAGTAAATAGCGCGATTTCAGAATAAGTGAACGCGCAAAGGAATTATTATGTTTCAAATAATTGTTAGTAATCGATTTCCAAATTGTGTTTGTGAGATTCAAGAGGAGTATTTTGCATCAAAGATTTTGTTTCGTCGTGTAATTTAGCAGAAGATGAGGCGATGTTAAATATAAGTATTGAAATATTCTAAGATTTAGAAAACGACACAACAGTTACTTCTGAAAACGAAAAAAAACGGCACTGCCTATTCCTTACAAGCTGTACTTTTTACTAAAGTAAGTCAGTTGGATAGAAAATGCTATTTTTTAAAACTTCCTTATTCAAAAGGTTATTTTTATTTATTCATAGAATGAAGATGAAAGCCTACGATACTTACTAGGGCTCTTAGGCGGACAAGGCAAATTTCCCATTTCACTTTAACGCGAGAAGGTATAACTAAAATACTTTATGTACTGCAAAATTCATATTAACGAAGATATAAGATATACTCCATACTTTTGACTGATAATATCGTTAATTTTATAGTTTAATGTAAATTTGAATCTCACAAACACAATTTGAAAATGGATTACTAACAATTATTTGAAACATAATAATTCCTTTGCGCGTTCACTTATTCTGAAATCGCGCTATTTACTTCAGCTGCTGAAAAAAAGGAAACAAGAGACTATTTCTTAAAAATTCCTTGCGCGATTTTGTAGGGCCTGTTAAAACTATACTAATATCAGATTAGGCATCATATACGCATACCTAATTGGAGGCGGATATCATTCTAGTTTAAGACACCGAAAGGATTATAATGATATAGTCGCCATGAGCGCCCCCAATTGTTAAAAGTAAAACTAATCTTATGGCAAAATTCTTCCAAATGGCAAATATAATGACCCTATGTAATGTAAACGCAATGGGGGAACTTTCGGGTATTGTCATACAAAATATATAAATACCCATAGAAAATATTTAGAATAAGTGAAACAGATGAAGAAATAAATCCTTATCATAGATAATTAGATTTAATTGTGCTGTGTGAAATTTGTTGCGCGATAGTAAATGCCTACAAAGCTAATAAACGGTACAATAATGAGTTGTATATTAAATATTATTCCAATGATTACTGTTTTGAGTACAAACGCAATTCTATTTTTATCCCATTCGAAATACAAAGGCCAAATAGTGAGCGCTTGTAAATTGATGATACCGTTGGCCGGTTTCGGAGAAAGGAACTTCGATTACAAGATTCGTACTGGGAATAATGAACTGTGTTATGATTGTTGGCATTGTACATTTTTCTCATAATATATTAATCGACGTTGATGTCATATCTATATAATTATCTAACTCGAATTTTTATGTTAAACGCATCTATTCAACGAGACGAACAAAAGAATTGATTCGCACTGAGTTTCGAGCGCAAAGATATGAAGTGACGATTTACTTGTTGTAATTTTAAGTTCCTGTTCTCACGAGAACATTTCCACCTCCAAATAATTTTGTTTCAATAAATCAATAATTTTTAGGTTAGGCCCGTCTAATGAGAGTTCAGAACTGTAACTTATTATTGTATCTAATGATATAGTCGAAGATGCCGCCTTTC